GAGAAATCAAACACGTATCATGTACTTGCAAGTCAAAATAAATTGATTAGCAGGTGCTTCCTGCAAGATGATATAACGGTCATCCACTCTGTACAACGGGACATTTCTCTTCAGCACCCTTGGGCGAACATGATTCTTTGCATCTTCCTTTGAGTCTCTTGCCTTCATCATTTGTCCTATAAATGTCAATTTTCTCTTTCCGGTTATCAGGAAATGTAATAGTAAGTTCGAACTGAAGTTGAGTTCGTTACATTCAGTTAAGTGCAAATATCCTTGCGGGGTATGTATCCGTCTACCCTGTCTATGGGTTAAATAGAAGAACATGTATATGATGGAAATCATTGTTATTCTGAAAAAATCGTTAATTAACTCGCAAAAATTAAAATGATCAAACTATGTTATATACCGTAGCTATGAACACTAATGGGTGTGTCCCAATCCTCATAAATACATTGGACGCTATTGTAAGTGGGGGTAATATGCTGTCTAAGTAGTGCACCACTAGCCGTGGTTTACCTATTTCACGCCGCTGGCGAGTATTGTATTTTGCTGATGCTATAAAGATGATCATTGCATTTCCAACCTCCGTTTTGGTTAGTCCTCATTCAGTAACCCTTTCTAGGTTACAACAGATAGATAGATAGATGAATAGAAAGATAGATAGATATGAACAGAATGAGGTAGATATGAAACGAACTGAGATAGATAGATAGATAGATAGATAGATATGAACAGACTCACATATGAAAATAATTTAGTGCTATATAACATATATATGAACACTAATAGCTATATCTGAATCCTCATAAATATACAGTATTTACATTAGTCGGACTGATGTCCTCATCTTTGTCGCCATATTTGTCACAACGTTTCGGCCGTTGTACGCTCCGGCCTTCTTCAGGTGGTTGGAATTTCGAACTGGACATATGGCACAGTGGATAAAGGTGTTGGTTAGATCCAGTGACAGACCCAAAGAAGGTGAGTTCAATACCTGGTTAAGGCAGTGGAGAACTTTCAGAGGGAAAATTAGTAGGAGATAACTGATAACTGACATCCATCAAACATGGCACGTGGAACTAGAACAGTCTACCCCAGTGATCGAAATAAAGGGTTCAGTTCGAAATTCCAACCACCTGAAGAAGGCCGGAGCGTACAACGGCCGAAACGTTGTGACAAATATGGCGACAAAGATGAGGACAATAGTCCGACTAATGTAAATACTGTACATAATACCTCACCTCAGAAATATAGACAGACCCTCATAAATATGTTGAACACTATTGTAAGTGGGGTTAATATGCTGTCTAAGTAGTCCACCACTAGCAGTGGTTTACCTACTTCATGCCGCTGGCGAGTATTGTATTTTGTTGATGCTATAAAGATTACCATTTCATTTCCAACCTCCGTTTTGGTTATTCCTCATTCAGTAACCTTTTCTAGGTCAAACACAATGTAAAAATTGTTCAGCTTTAAATAATTATCTACAAAGTATTGATAAGCCTTAACAAATCAATCAACCACTCTGATTTTAAGCATAAGCGTGCATTTTGTTTCTTTTTCTTCTTAAAATTCCTCATTACGGCAAGCTTTTTATTCTTTTTTGTAAATTTTATAAATTTGTCTCTACGGTGATTGGAATGATTTATTTCAAACATGTCCAGCACGTTGTGGCCGTGTTCCTAGTCTATATTATTAAGTATCGGCTTTTACTTTTTATCATTAATGCTTTCATTATTTTACGCCTTTTATACTTTTTATGTCTCGAGAAGAAAACACGTGTTCGAATGCAAGATAAACTCAATAAAAAGCTTAATTGCAATACATTGTATAAAAGAGCTATTTCTGCCGAAATACACAATTATTAAATCTATCTATCTACACCCGGTGTAACAGCAAAATTGTTTAAATCCTGTTACAGCATGACTGTCCATTCCACAAAATGTTTAATATCTAAAAAAAACCTAAACTAATTGGGTTTCTTTTTCCAGGTTTTCAGATAAGACGTTTAACCACAATGATACCATTTGTCGTTAACGGAAAAACCTACTGAGAGTGTCAGACTTACTATCTTCTCAAGTAAACAATGGTGGGAAGGAAATATCATACAGGCCATCAATAATGATGCCAACATTCATACTCTGGCTTCTATCTTCAAATTCATTCAAGAAAAATCAAGAGAATGGTGAATAGGTTTAAAAAGTGAAAACATTAGAGAGGAAAACTGATTCAGGAGGTCACAACAAGAAGAGGGTTCCTCATTTCAACTTATAGCTAAATAGTTCAATTAGAAAAGATCCAACTCAATTCATAAGACGTTCGGCACGTGAGAGATGGTTTTCGGCTATGATATTCCAAAGATCAGTGAAGAAAGACTTAAAAATGAAATCGTACGTGAAACGTATGAGGCAACTTGTTACTCCAGGACAGAAAGTTAGAAGGTTAGAGAGGGCGAAGATCATCTTGAATAAGTTGAAAAATGATATTGGAATATATATATATGAATTTTATTTCTTTCCTTCATGAGATTCCGATCCTTAGCTATGGTAATGATGATTACATTAATGATGAACATTTCATTTTCTTTTATAGGCGATTCTTCTGTTAAGTTTGGAGATTAATTATGCATTATTATTGCTCAAAGTAGAGTCCAGTAATATTGTAAAGACTTCGGAGAATTGCAGTAAGATTTCTAATCATTTCTAAGATACAATCTTTCAAAGCTTAATCTAACAATTGGACAATTTTGTTACTCGATGTAGACAATTTTGTTGTTTCATTATATATATATATATATATATATATATATATATATATGTGTGTGTGTGTGTGTGTGTGTGTGTGTGTGTGTGTGTTGCATGTGTGTGTGTCTGTCTGAATAAATTGCAATCATTATGTCTGCTTATTTTTATTATAATCCTTCCATATTCACGAATATTTTTCCGTATATTACAATTAAATAAGGCAATAAACGTACTGTAAGAATGAGAATTATTTCCAATGTACTTTCCATCTCCTTCTGAGATCATCACCAGTGCTGCAACTGGTAAGGCAAAAACTATTTGTAGTTCTCTCCATTATTGATTTTTTTTCTTTTTGCGTTTAAATGCTATGGCTGACAGTTATGCTTTAGCGCTCATTAGAACGTGAATTTTTATTCTTTATGGATTTTCCCCTTTTATATTGTAATGTCATGGGGCAGCTTTCATCAAAGTGTGAAAACTGTTCTTTTTATATGCATTTTAGAACATTAATACAGTATTCATAGGAGGATTATGATAGTGTTATGGGATCGTACCCATAATAATAATAATGGACTATTCCATACTTAATAAATACTGCGCCTCAGGAGTAGGCAAAAGTCAGTCATTCAACTCTGAACTGACTGAACGGTTGTACTCTCTTCCTACGGGCGGGAGGAACCCGAAGGAGGCTACGCCGAAGGGCGGAGTCTCCTTCGGGAGGGTAAAAGCTCGGCCCAGAACCCGTTTATACGGGTTCAAATGGGCTATTTTTTGGCCGAGCCTAATGGCTTGGGAATTCCCACGTTAAAAAGGCCTTGTGCCACATGACACCCTCGTGGGGGGGTGACTGAATATTGTCAGTCGTTCAACTCTGAACTGACTGTTCGGTTCAACTCTCTTCCTACGGGCGGGAGGAACCCGAAGGAGGCTCCTCCTTCGGGGAGGTAAAACCGGCCCAGAACCCGTTTATACGGGTGCAAATGGGCTATTTTTTGGCCGAGCCTAATGGCTTGGGAATTGCCCACGTTAAAAAGGCCTTGTGCCACATGACACCCTCGTGGGGCGGGTGACTGAATATCGTCAGTAGTTCAAGCCTTGAACGACAGATCGGTTGAACTCTCTGCCTTCGGGAGGGGAGGAACGCGAAAGAGGCTACGCCGAAGGGCGGATTCTTTTTTAGGGAGGTAAACCGACCCTGAACCCGTTTATACGGGTTCAATGGGCATATTTTTGACCGAGCCCATGGGCTCAGAGAGCCCACGTTAAAAAGGCCTTGTGCCACATGACGCCTTCGTGGGGGGGTGACTGAATATCGTCAGTAGTTCAAGTGGAGTCAGTAGTTCAAGTCGAGTCAAGAGTCGAGTCAGAGGCAGTCCGAAACAGAGTCGCGTTCATACAATTACTGCAAGACATTGGAATAGTGATACTGGTCGAGACTACATTGTTCTCTCTACTAAACCTGATTGTTCATACTAACACTTCTACTTCTCTGTATATATTCCTGTTTGTAATATATCTGTATTATTCCATACCTGTGTTCGAGTTCTTCTTTATTTGTTCTACCTTGGACTGTCACCCTGGTACAAGGAACCGGATCATAACAGATAGAAATAAGTAGACTTAATGTTTGTAATTTATTCAATCAGGCATGCCTAAAAGAAAATTTGCTGCTTAAATGCACGCACACACAAACATACACACTCATATATATATATATATATATATATATATATATATATATATATATATATATATATATATATATATTCATTAAAAGAGAATTAGCTGCATTTTTCAACATTTGATGCGAGTTTTTTATTTCCGGAAAGGAAATAAAACTTAATAGAAACTGGAAAAAAAAGACGGCTTACGAAGATGCCAAAGCTGAGTGTAAAGTTCATAAGTGCTTCGACAGACTCAAAAATGGAAGTTTTGATATGGAAGTCAGAGACGTTTCAGCAAATCGTTGATGAGAATAACCCGAGTCACATGGCACCAGATATCTCAGAGATACTCCATATATCACACATGATCCTTTAAAAGTATGTGAAAACATCTGAATACTTGTTACATTGACACACCATTTAACAGAAGAGAATTTAAAGAACAGCATGTCCATCAGGATTTTTCTGCTCAATTCCTATCAAAAACACTTTAAAAAAAAGAAGACATTCTTAAAAGGAACGATCGAAGACGATGAAAATTGGATTGTTTACAACAATAGTGAGCGAAAAAGTCCGAGAGAAAACAAAAAATAGCTAACTTTAATCTTGGCAATATCTTCCCTGTATCCGAAGAATATGATGCTATGTATATGAATATCTGAAGATTCTTGCCAAAATTCTAAAAACTTTGAAATAGAGTGCCCGATATTAATGTGTTTAGAATTTTGGCAAGAATCTACAGATATATGGACTGCTTGCTTTAAATGTCTTTTCTCTCAATGGGCCATTGACTATCAGCATTTTTGGATTCATACTACCTTTGACATCGATATATATATATATATATATATATATATATATATATAGATAATATTAGTGGAACATAGAAATATTTGGTCCTTGCTAAATTAGACAATCGTTATATTCATCTTCATATATTTATATTTGATTTCTAACCTGTCGCCGATATTAATTTGTCAAATTTTCCCAATTACAAAGCGGCCCTTTAAGTAAACACAATTTTATTTTCCTTCGTCCCATCTCTCTCCCCCACCTCTTCTCTTTCTTTTTTCCCCCCTACCTCCTAACTTCTAATTGTCTATGGTGTGTATATGTCACCACCAAATCTTTTATGCATTAGACATCCGTCGACTTTCTTTCTCTCCTCTTTTTTTAATCCCCCCACATCCTAAAATTCTCTCTGTTAAGGTTTCATCTCCCTCCTCCTCATACTTACACTTTCTCTAAATTCTGTTTTGATTTCCGGAGTTGTTTTTTTCTGTTTTCATTTTGAATTTGTAGGTCTGATGATTTGGATCGTATTTACGATTCCAATGGAATAAATTATGACCATGGAATTTTATTGTTTGAGCCTTTTTTTATTATATATATATATATATATATATATATATATATATATATATATATATTTATATTTGGATAGATGTGAGTTTGTGACCCTGGGTTTCACGCTTTTAGCGATCGTCAGACAAACTAAGGTATTCACTTATATTTATTTATATTTATATACACTTTTCACACACACACACACACACACACACACACACACACACACACACACACACACACACATATATATATATATATATATATATATATATATATATATATATAAGGTAGTATGAGGCCAAAAATGCTCGCAGTGTGTGGGCTATATAGAGATAGAGCATTTATAGCATTAATGTGAGTAACTGGGTAAACAAAGACTACAACTTTACACACACACACACACACACACACACACACACACACACACACACACATACATATATATATATATATATATATATATATAGAGAGAGAGAGAGAGAGAGAGAGAGACTGAGAGAAAGAGCGTGATTGAAAAGTAATTCCCTATTTTATATATGAGCGGCCAGCAAAGTTTGTCACGTTGGTGATTGATTTTACCTTCAGCCTCCTGACTCCAGAGTTTCGTAGGCAGACCCGTCCGTCCACTCTTTAAGTGACAAAATCTTATTCACATTAATCATACATACTCCCAAAGAACTAAAAGATGACATACGCTTAACACATGTATATCACCTTCCCAGAAACCAACAGAACTGTCAAAACGACTAAGAAGGGAATTCTGAGTTGCATGAATCTCCCCAGTTTCTATCTTAAAAACAACTTAAAAGAGGCCGTTTGACCAACACAAGGACTGACCAAAATTAACGATAATTAAACAAATGAAAACTACAGATAAAGATCATTTTGTTCAGAAAGTTCCTTCAGTTCACAGCTACTAAACAAGAATTTTTTTCTCCTGATGATGGCCATGCTGGCCGAAACTAGTCGCGGAACCTATCTGAAATAATAAAACAAAAAAAATATTAATATACAACCCAGTGTATCTGAAAAGTTTCATTTTTTTAAAATATTTTTATTGTTCAAAACAAAAGAGATTCATAACGATTTTAACCGCAAATTCTATTAATCGCTTAACGTCAATTTGTCTCAAGCGTATAGAAATTGGAATGAATAAATCGTGTAAGTAAGACTTTAACTCCATGTAATCCCCAGTAACTTAATTTTTAAACAAAAAAGGAGTAACTGGGTAAACAAAGACCACAGCTTTTACATATATATATATATATATATATATATACATACATGAATTATTCACACAAAAACTAATGCAAAGGTTAATGATTTAAATGGCGAGACATCCATCATCGCAAACAATTCAAATAATATACAAAAACGTCCGAATCCGTTATCAATGAAATGACCCTTGTTTATATAAATTTCTGCCGTATTCGTTCTTATTTTTACTACAAGCTTTCGTCTGTTCCTACAGACATCTTCAGGTATAGAAAAGATGTTGTTCTTTTTTTTTCTCTTAGTAGTAAGAGGACAACGAAAATATATGTATTGTTGTATCCGAAAATGCTATTGAAAATGAGTTATTGTTTTTGGAACGCGCAGAAGCAACGCTGAGTTTGATTTTGAATTTTTAAAGGTTGTGCGTTCATATAAAATATGGTGATGAACAAATTTTTTACTGGTAAATTTTTCTGTCAAAATGGCATGAACTATATTGTTCAATAATTACAGTAATGTCGCACTTA